TTGTGTAGTTGCTAGTACTTGTATTTTGTGTGTGTGTATGTGTATGTGTATGTTAGCGTGTGTGTGTGTGTGTGTGTGTGTGTTTTCTGTGTATGTTGCGTATGTAGATGTGTCTGCGAGTCTTACGTCTCTGTCTTCTGTTTTCTTCTGTCCTTAGGATTTTGAAATTTCGTCATCTTGTTTTTCTTTTTCTTTCTCCTCTTCGTTTCTTCTTTTTTCCATTTTAGCTCTATCATCCACGCTATCTTTTCTTTGCTTCCTATTATTATTTTTTCCTATTCTTCATCATTCTTTTTGTTTTTTTCACATTTTTCTACTATGTGCTTCCAATTTTCTTCCTCCTTCATACACATTCTGCATCTCTTATTTTCTTCTTTTTCCCAATATCTGCTTCCTCTCGTTTCATTACCTAACCTAAACCTTTCCCTTATTGTAGGCCTTTTATTCTTCCCTCTCCTTGAATTTCCTTTAATCTGTACCTTCTCATTTCTTCTTTCAGTTCTTTCCACTCGTTTATGTATCTTGACTTTTCTAGCTTTTCTTCTAATTATTTTTCTTCTTTTTTTTTTAGCTCTTTTCTTATTTCTTCCCAAAATTCTTCTCTCATTTCGTCTCCCGCCTCCCTCTCTCTATATATTTCACCTTTTTCTAGCCTTTCCTCTCTCTCCTCCTTCTTACCCTTTTTATCTTTTTCATTTCTTTCCCTTTTCTTTAGTTCTCTTCATGCTTCTTTTCTTATTGAGCCATCTCTTTCTTCTCTTATTTTGTTTTCATACCTCATTGCTCTTTCTAATGCTGTTTCTTTCATTTCTTGTCTTCCTGTTTCCCATCGTATTAAGTAACTTGGCATGTTTCTATCTCATCCCAATACTTTATGTATTTTAGTTGTTATCTTTCTATTTCTTCAAATCTCTTCCATCCCCAGATGTCTGCTCCATACATAATCACGCTTTTCGCCAGTGCGTCGAACAGGTTCATCCTTAGCTCCCAATTTTCTCTAAATAGCTTTTCTCCTAGCCCCCATAGTCTTCCGAGTCCCATATTTATTTTCCATTATACCTTCTTTATCTGCTTTATATTTCGGTTATTTCTGCTTATGACATATCCCAAGTAATTGTACTCTTTAACCATCTCTATCTTCTCATCTTCCCATTCGAATTCTTCTTCCTTTCCTCTTCCTCCTCCTCTCCTGCATTTCATCATCTTTGATTTTCCTACATTTAGCTCTAATCCCCTTTCTTCCAGGATCCTTTTTAATTTTTTCAGGATTGCTTTCATTCCACTTTCACTCTTTGCCATCATCACTATATCATCTGCATATCCTAATGTCCATATTTTCTTCCTTCGTATCACTACCCCTCCTTCTTGCACCTGTTTGATCTTGACTTCCAGGTCGGCGAAGGCAAGATTAAATAGCGTGCTGCTTAAAGGGCACCCTTGCCTTACGCCTTTTTAAGTCTCGAACTCCCCAATTATTTCTTCTCCAACTTTTACCTTACTCCCTGTTTTCTTATATATTTCTTCTATTCTATTCCTAATTTTTCTATTTATTCCTTTCTGTTTCATTGTTTCCCATATTTTCTTCCTCTTTATAATGATTTATAATAATTTATAAAATTATTATTTATAAAAATTTGGACATACTGTCATTTATATATATTCAGCATTTAGTAATTGATATATATTTTATTAGTATCAAATATCAGTATCTTATTTCTTATTTCAAAAGTGAATATTAGAATGAAGATATAATTTTCAAAGATTTGTGCTGTAGCAAGAATAATGAAGAAAAATTTATTTGAACAGAAACGTAGAATGACTGTAAGTCCTCCAAGACTTGGGAAAAGCAATACCAATTACAAATAACATAAAAATCCCAAGATGTAGTGCAGAATAATGTAAGTATACGAAGGTCCTTCTATAAATCCATGATTTTAAATTAAAAAAAACCTTATTTATTTAAATAATTCCAAATTATTTATGAACATTAACTCTATATATTTATTATAGTGGTATTCAAATTTTATTATGCACTATAAAAATAATTTTCATCAAACTCTTTAAAATGCACAATTGTCGCAGCACTTACCTCTTCGTTGGATAAAAATCTTTTACCCGCAAACCAAATTTTCTTGTCAGGAAAAAAAAATTATCGGAAGGGGCCAAACTTGGAAAATAAGGTGGATAAGGAAGTATTTCGTAGAGTAAGATAAATAATTTAGTCATTGCAATCGAACTCCTGTAAGCTAGTGCATTCTCATGGTAGAAAAGAATTTTTTTTACCAAATGGAGCCGTTTTTCCTCCAGTATAGCATCAAATCGGTCTAATATTGAGGCATAATATTCTGCTGTAATAGCTCTTTCGCTTTATAGGTAATCGATCAATATTATACCACTTGAGTCCCAAAAAACTGTAGCCATAACTTTTCTGGCTGATCCATATTTCATCAACAGTAATGTAGCATATGTAACTAGTTACATATAAAATATTTCACATGCATCCTACTAAAATGTTAAGAGCTTCATTAATCGCATGCACTTCCAATCGACGATTGGCAAGTACAATAACATGAACTTTATTAAGACGCTCCGTATCACTTATGCTCTTACGGTCGTAACGAAATTTAGTAAACCACTTTTAAATCTAACCATGCGATGGAGCAGAGTCTCCATTATATTTTCTGAGCCTTTTTTCAGTTTCTTTGATTGATTTTCCACGTAAGAATTAATGGTTTACTTTGTAATTTTGTGAATATAGAGCTGGATAACCGCCATAAATCGATTTTTTTATAAAATTCTCGAAATATCTGGACTAGGATTTTCCGTTTTTTTTTTACAAAAATGTATGTTTTAATTTAATTTAATTTAATTTAACTCAAACAATTTTGAAAAACTGGTATGAACGGACATTTTATAACAAATAATTTAGTGTTGGAATTATAACAATATTTACGGGTTATTTTTAAGGGTTGTTTTTACCCCCTAAAAATGCTTCTTCGCCAATAAAATAATACGTGTTTTTTATTTTTTTTATTTTTTTATGTTCTACAACACATTACACTTACACAAAAATGGGGGGGGACACCTTGCAAGGGTTCCTTGTTAGTTGAACGCAACTCGAATTAATATTTTCTCCAAAAAAAATATTCGAAAAACTCTTTTAGGATCACACTTCTGCTTCAGAAATGTTACGAGTGGTGTCTTTTCCGTGATAGTTACAATATACGTTGTTGTAAATTGTTTGAATTTGGTTATATTATTTTCATATTTTAGCTTTACCTATAGAAATATTAGTCAGTCCTAGCTTAAACTGTGGACATGGGAGGTGTATTCGCTCCTCATTGGCGGCAGTGCGGGGCTTCGCACCTCTACAAATTACAGACAGGCTCTTGATAAAGAAAGGCACAGGCAAGCGAAATAATTATTGTCGGTTACAAATTATAAAAAACAAAATTATTCTAACATTAGTTCTAATTCACGTGACCGATCGAGTGTGGGTGAACGCGCGTGAAACGTCCGTCATAACGAACGTCGCTAAGATTTGTTTACTATAAAGCGCTCGCCGGCCACAGTGCCGACGTCGAGGGAGGAAGAAAAGAGAAAGAAAGTATCTGACTTTGATCTGCTGTTCGTTGCTCGTTGATTTCAGTTATAGTCTAAATGCGGCAAGACCAATAGACGATAGCAGCGCATATACCGTCTAGACAACAAGCTGATGGACTTATTCTAAATGCTATTTCAGCGATCGACCTATGCTGAGTTTAGTGTCCAGATGTATTGCTTGCCTTCCTGCGGAATGTTCGTAATGGTAATTACCCAATTGCTGCTGCCCAGTCTCTTGGAACTTATCAAAATCTTTCTCTCAGTGTCCGTCACGTGACAATTTAGGCAGTCGTTCTTTGAGTTTTTGCTTGTTAGCTGCTGTCCAGCTTGTACCTCTTACCCCCTCTCCTACCGCTTAAAAATCACCGAAGACGCACGTCATGAGTCTTAGGCCGTAAGACTCTCTTTTTTATTCTTTTCTCTATATTTCTTTTCATAGTAGTTCCTCAGTTCTTTTCACCGGCCCATGCCACTCATCTCTGCAACACAGCACAAAGGCATCGGTAATCTGTTCGTATGACTACAGTGCACGCCGATGGCGGAGGAAAGGCACGTAAGAGAGAGAGAGAGAGAGAGAGAAAGAGAGAGACAGAAGGACGAAGCAAGCTATAACATAGCTAGCGCTCCGTTATATCGTTTAACCGAAACTAAGCAAAGTAGGCGTGAGGGATTTATATCAATAAACGTTGGAATGAATTAGATGTTTGATTATTTAAACTGACTAAGATATTCCTAAAGAAAAAGATTACATATTGCGTTTAGTCTATGGTTAATAAACTTGGATAAAGAGAGTCATGTGTCACTTATTGTAAAATGGAAACACGGAATGAAAATAAAGAGATAGGCAACGCTTGAAGAAGTATCTTATAATTCGAGTGCCATTTGAAGCCACACCGGAGTGGTAGGAGGCACGTCTAAATCAAATCGGAGGAATACCGTTGCGATTTGAGAGATCATTGATATGATGGTGTGATGGGGCACGTGCAACGTAGCACTTACGTTGCATAAGTTGCTTCAATAGAATGACCGAACGCTGTGAATGAATATAGTATAAAGTCGCATTTTCATACTAATTATATATTGATTAAATAACTAAAATGAAATAAGTAAAGAAACTTTTTAAATAATAGTACACATTTTAAGAAGTGTATAAGATATGATTGCAATTATTTTTACGGCTTCGAACGAAAAGAAAGAAATTTCGTGAAAGCGTGCTTTCGCAGCAGTAATTCCTGAAACATTTACCTGATTTACCATATATTAGGAGAAAAAGGTGATGATTTACGTGTGTAATAAACGTTGAGAATTCATGACTATGCAATGCATGCGAAAGATATATCAATGAAAATTTATAACTAAAATGTAGCAAACAGAATAATCAATAACTCAGTACTCACCAATAGTATGAAGATCAGTCTCATGCGCTGTCCGGAAGTCGACTATATGTCTTATAGATTTTGCCATACAAATACGAATATCAAAAGTATCAACTATAGGTTGTCTGAAATATTCTTTTATTGCATGCCCCCTCATTGCAGATAAATCAACACCATGAAAGCACGTTTGATACCAAAAATTGGATTTGTTAAATTGTTCCATGTATAAACTTTCATCAGTGAATGGCGCAATATGAAGATCTCCTCTGGTAGGAAACATTCTACCTCCTAAAAGAAAAGAAATCATTAATTTAGATACGATTTTTTGTATTATTATTATTCTTGGAGGTTACGTTATAAAGATAAAGATAGACACAAATTATAAATTTTTATCAAAACAGAGTGTAGTAGAAAATATTACAGAGTAATAATTATACATTCTTACATTACAATGGTAAGTAAGTATTCCCAGCCGAGGAAAGATTTCCTCTGTGCTAGGCAATGTTTTGAAATTAAATTAATTAGTTAATTATTGCTCTAATACATAGTTTTGAGGATACTTTCTAGTTTCTTGCATATAATATTATTCTTCTATAGTATTGCTGGACATGTATATCCTACATTTAATACTCTATAATGGTGCAACAATAATAAGACAAATATGAAAAAGATTAATTGCTTACAATTTAAAGTTTTATATCTTTGGTGAAAATCAATCTACAAGACGAATGCGGCGGAGGCTTAAAGCTCTTATTAATAACTTTCAAAAGGCATACATCAAGAATGCAATCAAATGATTTTTTTTAAATTTATTCAAATGAAAACTGAAAATTTTTTAACTTCTTGTTCATCCTTGATATCTCATAAAAAAAAATTACAAAAAAATTGTAAGTACATAATGTTAGGATTCTTTTTAAGCCTTACCTATATCACTGAACAAAAAATTATTTTCACCGCATTTGACGTTCATAGGAACATTTTTCCTGGAAATTAACACTTTTGCTCAATTTTTCATATCTCTATAAATTCAAGTAATATAAAAAATATGTAGATGAATAATTAATTTTCTACATATAATATATTGGACTTTTTCAGATTTTTTCAAGAAAAAATTGTCAACTTAGGCTAACGCTACCCGCTATTCACCCCAGATCCACCAAAGTCCCCTACAGCAATATACACAAATGATATAGCTATATTAAAATCACGTTCAGAGGCAACTATGGCATCCAATATATTACATAATTGTATAATTAATCATCTTGTTCAACTCATGAAGAATTAAAGATAATGAAAGTAAATCCGTTCACCCGACGTTCACATTTAGAAAAAATACCTGCGCACCGCATAAACTCAATGATAAATGTACTCCGTCAAGTGATAATGCTAAAACCCGAGATATAAACTAAATAGGACGCTCACATGGAAAGAAAATATATATTTACAAAAAGTAAATAACTTGGACTTAAATGGAGGAAAATGTACAGAGTTATTGAAAAAAAAATTGGAGCTGTCAATGAAAACAAATTACTGCTCTACAAAGCTGTACTCAAATCAGTCTGGGCCTATGGCATTCAATTATGGGATGCTGCTTCAAACTGAAATATTAAAATCATATGAAGATTTAATCGAAAGTTCTACGTAATATCATACAAGCCTGCTGGTTCATCCCAAACGAAATCATCCGAAATAATCTACAAGTTACAACCGTAAAACAAAAAATTATGAACTTTTACGTAATATACAATATCAGACTTCAGAACCACTCTGATAGCGAATTTCTCAAGACATTTATCACCAATATCAGACTCAAGAAACATAAATTAATAAATACATAAATAAATCATAACCTAATTGTTACATTTATACTTTTTAACCTTCAGGCGGTCGGAGTAATGCAGATGGGCATTAACTCAAAATCGAGCCACATTACTAGTCGATTTGGAACTTTTTCTAGGGAAAAATTCCTTAAAGTATGACTTGGAAAAATTCACAAATGGCGGCCACCTGGAGGTCACCAAAACAGAACACTCATTGGAGTATTCTGCCTATTACATGTACATATATCATTTGTCAATAACATTTACTTATTAATTATATTATTACTTTCAATCATATTAAATATTGCGAAATTATAAAACAGAGAAATAGTAGAATGACACACACTACTATAAATCAAAATTATCTAAGCTCAATTTATTTTCGGCAACGTTTTGCTGGTTTGTCTTCCAGCTTCGTCAGGTCCTTTATTTAAAAAATAATTCAGTCGATTGTACAAACATAATGACAATTTTACAATAAGAATGGTATCAAATTGAATAACAAAAAACACATACCAACCCAACTAAAGAATTTTTCAAGATTACATTATCGATTGCTATAAGTCAACAAAAAATTTATTGTAAATTTTGTTAAATAAATTAAATAATATAGTCAAGTTACTAGTCATAATATAATACACAGCAATCAGAAAACAAAATATAAAATACAAGCGAGAAGTTATACAACACAAGTCATGCTGAAAAATAATGAGAAAACCACGAGCAAAATATAAAAAAAGTCTTATTCAATATATGGAATTATTAGCAAAACCTATTTTAAATAAAACAATGACACGAAAATATTTCATGGAATAATAGCTTATGAGATAATATAGTATTAAATAACCAATAACAATAAATCTATTTAAGAAGTTTAAAAATACTATTGTATTATTTACTGAGATATTGAGTATCCGTTTGTCTGTTAATAATATTATTGTATTTATTAATAAATAGTATTTTGGAAATAAATTTTTTATTTTGTAACGGGGTGGGTTATCTAATACAAAGGGAATTTCTTGACGAATAAACTCCCACGATGCAGAGTTAACCGCCGCTCCGTTAAACACGTATAGTTATACGTGTATTCGCCTTTACGTTTGATACTTTCGTTCCAGTGTCTTCTTTCCAACAGAGTAGAACTCACCTTAAGTCACCTGACTTGTGACACTCGATCTATTTTAGGTATGAGTGACCTGATGCTTAACCCGACTAATCTCCTAGATGAAATCGGATTAAATTTTAATCCGTGATAGATCTGTTAAACTATTAGGAAATGAAATGACGTAATACGGCGAATAAAATTAATAATGTTCAATTCAACTAAACTACAGTCTTTTACGGGCTGAAAGACACGCATGCGAATAGGATTCACAATGATTAATAATAATACGGTGAGAGAGAGAGAGAGATTAAACCATTTTTATTTAGCCATGGGGTATAACCCCGTAGGCTTATAGTCTTAGAGAGAGAGAGAGAGAGAGAGAGAGAGAGAGAGAGAGAGAGAGAGAGAGAGAGTGAGAGAGAGAGAGAGAGAGAGAGAATTCGAACTTTGCCGTGAAAACTAACGCTCGGCGCGAATATAAAAAATAACGATAGCGATAGACGAAATACTCTCGCCCGCTATTTTGTCGCGCAATAATTGGGAGGTGCATCTACCCTGCGGTGCAATTACGATGATCAGCCGTAATCGTTGAAGAGAAATCTTTTTCGGCCAATGGTTTCCTCCTGATTAAAGAGCTGTGCTGCCTCACTGAAAAATCTGTAGCTTTGCCTGCTGCTGCTGTAATGTTGCTGCTGCTGCTTAGCTTCCTCACTAGTGCTCGCACACGTATCCAAAAAATCCAGGAAAACTTTGTAGCAAAACGGCAAAACATGATGCAAACTAATTGGCGTTACTCTCGCAAAAGCAGCTGAGGCTTAACTGAACTTTTCAAACTCTCGCGTGCCCTCTCTCTCTCTCTCTCTTAGTCGTTCGAACTAGCATCGCGAGTGTACCGAATCGCAAACGGATCAATTAATCGAATCGACACTCATTACAGCCCCCTCCAAGTCCTGACTACCTGGGCAGGAGGAATACCCGCGATTCGCCGCCATCAAGAACTTGAAAAAGAAAGGGAGAAAAGGAACCAAATAATCATAAGCTTTCCTCCTTTGTTTTAGGGCTACTTTATTATTTGCCCTCCAGGACCTACATCATTTCTTGGCGACACCTGGCGCTCGATGTTTCGGGTAGCGCCAGTATGTAGCCTGGGAGTTAGTCACCCCAGGCTCCCCACAGATGTAGCAGCCCTCAGCTGCGATCGGGATTGAGGCTCCCGTTCGTGTTGGGTCTGCTAGGCAGACCGAGGGGACTACTGGACGCTGACTCCCTGGAAGGCGGTGATGGTAACGACTCCCACCGTGGCGGTCGCACGTCCATCTTGCGACCTGACAAGGATTGTGGTTTCAGGAGCCATACGCCCGTCCAAGGGGACCTTGAGCATCGGCCCAGCACCAGTAGCTCCCGGGGCTATCTTCTTCTGAGCCGTCACCGGGACTGCTGCAGGGGACTCCTGTTCATTATCCACGCGGAGCAGGGCCTCTCCGTAGACTCTCTGGCGTTGAGCCACCTCTGCCCACACCCCAAGCAGTTCTTCTGTGCCCTAGCGGTTCAGGAGGCGTCTCAGGTGCTCCTGCACCTGAGACTGAAGATCCGCTGCGGACCGCCAGGCACTCTCCACCTCGTTGATCCCCAGACGCACATGTCTGAAATCGAGAAGGAGAGTTGGCTGCTCCGAGGTACGGGGGTGGTTGCAGACCCAGTACGATACCCCACAGGTTTCCCTGCGTCCTGGGTACTGGCTCGCACTGTCCAACGTCTGGAGTATGCCGGACTTGAGGTCTGCACCCCCTGGTCCACGGTGGACTTGGGACGCTCAACATTATCCAGGTCCTCAGTCCGGGTCAAAGCGTCACGGGAAGCTTTCTCGGGGTGACCCACGTCGCGTCCGGAGAAGGTCCGCGACCAATCCGTTATGGCACTCCCTTTAGGTGGCCCCCTCCAACTGAACCCTGGCGAAGCTACGCAGATCTTCTATTAACTGCGTCGCATCAAGGCTCAGCTGCAGATCTAGCAGCATCTGCGTGCCCCCCTATAAGGTCTCTTCCTCTACGACGATTCTCTGGTCAATCTGTAACATCCAACACAAAAAAATTTTGGATGAAACTCCCTGCGCGAAAAAAAATCCTACTAAACGTCGCATCCCAGCGAGTTAAGCGTTGTCTCGATATTTCTCGCGTGAACGCCCTGGCCCTCGTCGGTTACTGTTCGGGTTTAACGGCCCAACCATCCTTTGTACGACGGGGACGGTCTTTCGAGGCCTACCTCTCCCTCTAGAAGCCTTTAAGGGATAGTTGTCGCCTCTTGCTTGACCAATGACCGTCTCTGGGACCTTTGGAAGACGATCTCGACCTCTCTTGGATTGG